GTTATGTGGTCTGTGGTGGCTGTGGTGCGGTCTGTGGTGTTATTATGTTGTTGTGTTGTGGCGACTGTGTGTGGTTGCTGTGTGAGTGTGTGGGGCTGCACGGGCGGACTATGGTTTGCCGTGGAGGCTGCTCTGTTTGAGCAACAGGGGGCCACGTACGACGTGGTCCACTGCCTGTGTGTCCGTAGTCCCGAGCAGACCCTGAGGTGACTCCACCCCTCGCAGGCATTACACTTGACTGAGGTGGAGTTGTGGTGTAATCGTCTTCGGCATACACAGCAGGTGTATATTTCTGGCCCAGGGTTTGACTCGATGCCAGCCCTGAGTAGGAGAATGCGTAGTGAATGTTGCCCTATGGACGGACAACTTCTGAGATACTTCGCCGACCTAAACGGGGTTAGATCGCCGAAACAACAGCCCTTGGTCGGGTGAAACCCGAGTCATTCCGGTACGTAGAACCGGCTGTCGTGGGAATGGGGGGCAGTCGATCAAATACGGCGGTTGCTGGTTTCGTGCACGTTCACTTGGAATACTGGTTTGCCGAAGTCAATATCAGTATGAGCTGTTATAAGTATCGTTCACTTAAGGTGGCTGTATTTGCAAGCACTGTACGCTATGCACTGGTGTTCGTTAATCCCTCGTTTTTTATGTGAGCGGGCTTAAAATCACAAAATCAGCATCGTTTGCCAATCTCTGGTACAAATGTCTTTAAACATATTATTTCTTAAGCTATATAACCGAGCTATCAACGGACAGTCATACAAGTTCCAACTTCTACTTGACCTTTGACTTACGTCAAAGAGAACATAGTCCTTTTAACAATATATATATTTTTTTTCTGTGCTTTAAATACCTGCATTTCTTTCTTCATTATGATTTTTTTTGGACCAATCTTAAAAAAAAAACTACTATACACAAAAGACGAAAGTGTTTTCGTGATTTGGTTTTGATGTTACATATGTATATTTGTTTCAATAATGTTGTCGGGCAAAATTTTTTTAGGGATATACATTGGATCCTTGGCTAAAAACCTCTGTGGTAAACCTGTTCCTTTGCTATTTAAAGTCCAGCAGAAATGTTCAAAGTTTGGCTATAAAGAGACTCGATGCTCAAGTAATTGAAAAGCTATGGGTCTGACCTTTAATTAGATAAGAACTACGTAACTATCTGAGATTCAAATACTTATAAAAAACGGCGTGCTTTTTTTTAAATAACAATATACTAGGGCTGTGCGATTATTCGATTACTCGAGCAAGTTGGTTAATCAATTATTCGGTTAATCAATTACTCGAGTAATCAAGATTTTGATTACTCAAAACGATGATTAATCGAGTTACTTGAAATATGATTACTCTAAAAAAATAATTTTGCTCGTTAATAGAGTTTGCTTTGGAAAAAGCTTATTTTCTTTTTTACATTCTGTATATGAAAAAAATTGTTTGCTTTAATTTTTGAAAACAGAAACATTGTTTTCAAAGTATCAAGGAACTTTAACTACTTTATACATATGTAAAGAGTTGAAATGTTGATTACTCATTTTACTCGAAATGTTGATTAATCATAAAGCGTTTTACTCAAATATTTTTGTTTTTGGTTAATCAAAAATCTTGATTACTCGAGTAACTGAACTTTTGAGTAATCATAATTTCCAATTAATCGAATAATTGAGTTATTTACTTTATGATTAATTAAAATTTTGAGTAATCAATTAATCGCACAGCCCTACAATATACTGAACCGATTCGGCTGGCAGCCACGACTTTGAAACGAGAATTTCGTTCAAAATCTTCATTTCTGGAAAATAATTTATTTTCTATATCCACTTATTTAGCTCGCTATAAGCAAAATTCTTAAAACCAGTCGCAGAAGAAAGTATTAAAAATGACTTACAAAAACTAAAATCGAAAAACGCTGATGAAGTTACAGATTCCCCAAATTCTGAAACAGCCAAATTAATAAGAATGAAGAATTATTTTTAAAAAGCTTTACAAAAGCCTTGCACATCTGGTTTGGCTTGTAAGTGCTGTTTAAACAACGATCTCACCATTATACAAGATTCTTATTGTTTCTTAAAAATACTTGACATCCGCATCGGCGGATGTTAGCTGTTCGCATCCGCATTCGCATCCGCGGATGTCTTATATTCCACATACGCAACATCCCTAATATGTACATACCTTTTATACGGTTGACAAACGGGCTCGCTTATCTTTATTTGCATTAACTCATACATTATTCTCTTTCAAATGTGAATAAGTGGCTGAACAAATGCATAAAAATTTCGTGCATTTGTTCGAGCGTAGGATATAATTTTGTGTTCATAAGTTTTTCATAAAAGCTATGGAGGTATCCGCTATACGAGTAATATAATTGAAAATTAGAGAGTTCTACCTTTAAGCTAAGAAATACTTGTTTTACCCCATAACCGATGGGACCATTTTCCAAAGTCAGGCCACCATTATTCACTCAAAGTTGTGTTTGGAACACGGTCTGACTTATGTGGGAACTGTATCCGGTCATAATCGCTTACGCTTCACGCTTCATTTGCTTGAAATTTTGTTTTCTCGTTCTTTTATTTTATGTTACTTGAAAATATTTTCCACTATAAGAAAATATTGAAATTGGATTTCACTTGGGTTTACGAAATCCATGATTCAATTATTAAACGTTAGATAAACTGACAGTTGTCTCTCCCACACCGCTCCCTTAGCAGTGGCCGCAGTCGGTCTCGAGTTACACACGACTCCCAACCTGTGAATGACGTTTTTGGCATACAACCACCTGACGTGAACGAGACAGAGCTTGGTCTGCCTCGGGAGACTCGGACCACAATAACCCAATTTCGTTGACTACTGCAGCAGGTTTAACTCGTACCTGAGCAGATTAAAAGCGGATGTGCCAAACGAGTGCGCGGCATAAAGAGAGAAACCCCATTCAACTAACGCCTCACAGTGGGACGTCCCCATATAAGCTGCGGCCAAAAGTAGTAACCGTACTAGAAATTCGCTGAAATTTCGTATATGGGCTGTTCGGCACTTAGGAATGAAGAAATGTGGAAAATTGTAAAATTCAACGAGCTACCACGCCCACAACTCTTGTGGGCGGAAATAGTAAACGTTATCCTTTTTTTATGAAATTCAGAGCATATGCTGGTTTTAATGAGAAAAGCTTAAATCTGAAAGATCGTTAAAATCGGTTTACATTATCGTCCAGTAATTCTAGAAAAACAGGCGCAATTTAAAAAAAAATCTTTTTTGATGAAATTCGGTGTGCCCTGCTCGTTTAAGCCAAAATTTTCCAACTTGGAAGATAATAAAGAGGTTCTTAATACGGCGCCCACCTCCTACGAAGCTTTTTTGGCTCCAAGTACCAAATTTTATGGATTTTGGAGAAAATGAACAGGCACACTTATCTTATTTCTAAAATAGGTTCCTATTTCTTCATTTAAAAAATGACAAAGCGAAAACATTTACAATACCTGCATACTAAATTATGTGCACGATATGTATTTACACTGAAACTTTCAATTTTACCTACATTTTATAGAACAAAAGCTGAGCTAAGGCAAGCAGGACTCTTGCCATCGAAAACGGATCCCGTCCAGAGAAACGTCCATTTTTGACTGAACGTTGATTGGGAGTAATAGATTGGCGAGTCATAAATATCTACACCTTCTTTAATTTCCTCTTTATATTGCATATTATTCATTTTATTTACATATCAGTCTTTCGTTTTTGCTCTACAATAAAAATTCAATAAATTTTACAGGAGGTGGGTCTATAAAAGGAAGAATAGAAGCTGAACTCGCAGTTCCTCGCAGCTGGAACTATTTGAAACATGACACGCATATTTAATGTTTACTTGTCCTAAGTATAATTTAGCTCGCTTCCTTGGTCCTTTTTAAATATCCCTTTTTAAAGTAAGGACTGGAAAAATTTTACACACAAAATTATGTAAAATTTCAAGGTAAACTGTTTTATACATTTCAAAAGATGTATAAAAATTTAAAGCAATGTTGACCACAGATATATACAAAAACTGCTCATCAATCAGATTGGCTTTTTATATAGCCGCACAAGTGAAAAAATTAATTCAAATTACTTGCGACAAAATGAAAATCTTTTCTTACAAATTTATTTTTCGCATTGCTCCTACTTTAAGCTCGTATCATGATTGCAAATATGCATTTTCATCCAAAATTCTTTTTGGTTTGGGTTAGCTGGATATTTTGCTATGTATCTGCGTAATTATTTTTTTCAGAATTCGCTTATCTGTTTTTACTACTTTTGGCCGCTGTAGTCCCATAGTGCACCTCTGCCCCTATGGACAGATCCTATAGGGGGAGCACGCTTATTGAGTCTCCCGTTAGTTGACCTTGATGACAACGACTGAGGGCTAGCCGATCCGGCGGGGTTGTTGTAGCCGCTACAATAGATTTCACTATTTGTAAGATGTCACGATACTTTGCGTGTATTTCGAAGACCAGGGATAGTTCCAATTCTTGCAAGTTAGCCATATTATTAAATTTAGGGATCATAGAATTTGCAAGACGTTGAACTACGTAAATCTTATAAATATTCGATTATTTATACTTTACCTACATATCGTCGCCTGAAATGCAAAATAACGTAACAACATCGCCACAGAAATGGAAAAAAGTCGTGACTAGTAATTTTGTTTCATCAAAAAGTGAATTTTGAATTTTTTATAAGTTACGACTTTTTGCATTTCAATGACGATGTTTGTTACGTCCTTTTGCATTTCAAGTCACGATATGTATGAACGTAGTATATGAATATGTATCCATATGTATGCATAAGAGGTTGTTAAGATGCACTTTGATCAGAGAATTTTATTGCTGATAAAATGACTTTAAAATGAACTTTTAAATACATAATAAATAATGTTTATCCCTTATATATTATCCGTTTTCAACCGTCTTCAAACTACAATGCAATATTTCCAAGATAACAAAATTTATTTTTTATGGACTTTCTCACCTGCTCTTTTAAAGAATCAGCAACAATTTGGACTGCTTCAATTTCCGACATTTCAGATAGAAAAATTTATACTTTATTGTACAAAATCTGTTAATTTACTATTTATGTACTTTGATTCGGTCCAGCTGTTTTGTCAGGCAGAAAGAACAGCAAGAAGGAGAAACAAACGTAAAGCAAAATGCAAAAGAAAAACAGCTCTGCAAAGAACCGAGTTTTGGTATTCGGTACCATGATTCAATCATGATTCGGTACGTTCAGAATTGCCAGCTACTTAGGAATACAAGAATGATAGAATACAAGATCACGGTGCAGCGAACAAAGGTGGCGCCGTCAGTGGTACCGCTACTTTGGTTTTGCCGATTTTGACAGTTGTGGTAACTTGTAAATAAACCTTTGTTTACAAATCAGCGAAAGATAAATTTTAATTATAAGTGAAAAATCAGTTTAAATTGTGTTAATTTGCAATTAGTGAGTGATTATTGAGTTGAGGACTGCGTAAAAACGAATACAATGAAGTGCATTGCGTTAAATTGCGACAGCCGTCAAGATGCAAGAGGCGTAGATGCAAGTGTAGCGCTGGGACGAATCGCTGCATTTTGTGTACATAGGGCACGGCAAAGCCCATGATTCAATAATACAAGGTTCGATAAACTGACAGTTGTCTCTCTCGCACCGCTCCCTTAGCAGTGGCACCGTGTTGCTTCTTTGCACATTTACATGGAAACAGTGTAGCTTTGTGTGATATAGAGGTATGAGCGTTTGTGCAATATGTTTATTTGTATATGCATATGAAGCATATTTAACTGTTGAAAACATAAACTGTTTTTAAATGGGATGTTTACATCAATCTCATAGTAGTCTTATTTTAATTTTGAGTCATTTGGCATTTTTTATACAGCTAAATAGCACATAAATTACGTAATTTACATAGATACATCAATATTACGTTCAAAATTTCGTTTAAAATGCTAGATTTCCTGCAAAAACATTAGAATTTGCAAAAGGAATTTCACTACTAATTGCCTACTTTGCGTACTTTTCTACTACCATTTTCGCACCAAGAGATTTCATTCTCCCCTTTTCTCCGTCCTTCGTAAATGCAACCTTTTGTAAGGGAGTGTCAAACCGCAGCTGTCAATAATTATCTAACCTTGTATTATTGAATCATGGGCAAAGCCGTTCCCGAAATGTTTCTCTATTATTATATTAACAGCATTTCCTCACAATGATTTTGTTTCTGCTCCACGCAGCCTCCATTAGCAAGTTAACTAATCAATCCTGCAGAGATGCTGCTGCAGTTTTCTGCAGCAGCCTTAATTGCAAAGCAATAGAGTGCACTAAAATGTTCACTGTTCTCTAATAGAATAGGTGAAAAATGCAATATTTTCACATTTATCAAAATTAAAACAGGTTTTTCTCTGTAAAGTGAACTGCTTTGGCAGTTTCAACTCGTTCTTCTTTTCGCTCCATTCTTTGTTTACTTGTGGTACACAAATGTCAACACCCAGGACGGCACAATCTTGTATTCTATCATTCTTGCTTCAAACAGCAGTGTGGACAGCAATAGTTAGTGATGTGGTTAAGTTACAGGCTAACCTAATATTCGCGGCTTGCGTTTTGGTACGCATGCCGTGGAATTTGTTTTTTTACGTCACCCGAAATTGACTTGCATGTGTTTGCATTTGATTTCATTGAGCGAAACGTCAAATCAAAATGTCACGCAGAACAAAAATTGTAAATTGAGTTTGCTTCATACGCACGCCGTTCAATTTCGGTTGATCTCATACAAGTTGCATGTGCATGAGAAATTTTTTGACAATAAATTGGCGGCGTGCGTGAATATTAGGTTAGCCTGTTAGGGTTTAAACCGGACAATATTGTCAAGACAATTATGTCAAAATGATGTTTTTGTTGTAATAGGTTCAATCCTTATCTTTTTGGACTAAAATCTGAAAAGTGTCAAATTCCAGAGCTTAAGCAAAATGCGCTCACTAAAAGAGAATAACAGGAAAAGTAAAGGAACGCAAAAAAAAAAA